AATACTAGACAAAAACAGAAAATCACGGTATCGAATCTCCTAGAAAGGTGAAGGCTGGCATACCATTTGCTGGTGGTCTTGATATACATTTTGTATAGCTCGGAGAAAATTAGTGTAATTTAAACAACAATACAATCATTTTTATTAGGAATAAAACAATTAAAAATCAAACTTTTAATTATAAAAATTTATAGGTACATAATAACATTAACTTTTATATGTAAACTTTAATTAAAATTTTTTCAAAGCACGGATCTAAGAATGTATTGATTTTATAATGTTAGTTTTTTTCTTTTGTGTCCGAAGATACTTTTGGTAATAAAATATATGCTTAAATTGTCTATCACAGTGTATTTTCAGAGTGGTAAGTGAATCTAGTTGGTACTTAAAGAGGGGTCAAAAGTAAACCATTATGGCTCAAAATTGTTTTTCGTATGCAATGATTTTTGTTCATTGAACTCAAATTGTACACATCCATTACTGTGAAATACTCAATGATGATGTTTGCTTGACAACCACGGTATCCACGGTTACTTACTTAGACAATTTTGGGGCAGTAGAAATGCTTGAATGTTTTCTTCAATTATTTTTTCTGATAGGAAAGTTAATCTAGTGGGGTTATTGAAGGGGAAAGAGAAAAATGTTAATAGTTTTCATAAGCGTCATGTAAACAAACAAACGGATATTTTAGCATAGAGCCAGTTTTGGACAAATTTGATTTTGATTTTTGATGTAACTCTAAAAAAATAACTATAGATATCTACCTTAAATTTTCACTGAAGAACTAATATATTAACAATCATTTTTATACACCTGCATATTATCATTTTGAAAATAATTTTACTCGTTTTGACATATTAAATTTAATTTTTTTAGTTTATTTATCTATGAAATTATATTTTAATACTCAAGAAGCTTGAATATTTAATACAAGGCTCCTAATTAATTGTTACCATGTTAGTTTAAAAATACAGTCACATGTTTTTTATAAGCATTTATAGTTCAAATTTTAACAAAATAGGTAAAATTCATGAAAATATTCAAATTATTTTGAGTTAGAAATAGAACCTATTGTAAATACTGGTGTTTGTACGAGATTCAAAATAATAATTAATAATTAATATACTATTATTTCTGTTATAAATTATTATATCATGTAAGTTGAATTAATATTATTCTAATGATATGCTCACACACCATTATAATAAACTAAAATTTTATAGAATAATAAATAACGACCAGTCTGTCATTTGTATAGATCGGTCACATCAAATAAAACCATTTTAAACGAGAATTTAGATATCGGCACGTACTTATAACGGTATACAGTAAGATGTGGGTGACTTTATTTTATGATGCCACCTGCAGAGAAAATAAAAGAAATAAAAAGATTATCTGGCGAAAAAGAAAAATATAGTTCTCAGGCTCACGATAACTTTTTGATAAAGTCATCTACCACTCTGTGGTCAGCATCTCCCTTAAACTAGTGCATGAGCACCAACCACCGAGTAATGATCTCTCAATTACAAAGACCGCTTTCAATCTGGACTTCTTTTGTGAGCAATAATCAGTGAGTTCATTATTTTGATCAATGCATTAAGCATTTTGATGTATTACTCTGTGTCAACTAAAACCTACAACTTTTATAAGATAATATACAAACAACTGGGAATAATTTAAAGCAATTAATATAATATTTTATATTGATTGCATTTGTTACATCATATGTTCTTTTATTTTTACATATATGAATATTGTAAAGTGTATTTGATTTAATTCTCAGTTAGACGAAATCGATAGCCCTTCTAATACCTGGCCATATTAATAGCCAATTTTTACGATTTTAACATAACTACCTATCGACAGGAGTCGTTTTTGTATTATATCGTATTTTTGAGTTATTACATTAAAATATTATTGAAACGATGCGTGGATAGTCGGGAAAAAACTTTCCAGGCGAAATAATATTTTAGACTCTGAGTGAAACGATGAATGTGTTGATTTTACAATGATGTGTGGTTTTTTTTTTATTTTTTTTTTTTGTGTCTGTGTAGTGTGTATACGATAAGTAGTCGAAATAATGCTTCAATTTTCAACTTCAGTATCTTGTTTGATTGGAAAGTGAACATCGTTGGTGCATTGGGGAGGTCAACATTTAAAATTCCCAGTAAATTTCAAAAGTGCCAAGAAAAACAAAAGAAAAATTAAGGAAAAACAGGAATTTTTACGCAAAATCGATTTTTCACAAAATTGAATTTGGTTTTTGGTGTAACTTTAAAACAAATAACCATAGATATATGAAATTTTCACTGGTTGTTTATATTTATATTTTCTATACACGATAATATTTTCAAAATATTTTGATTTATTTTGAACTGTTTAGGGACATTTTCATTTTCCATTTTTTTTAGCTTTTTTTCTAAAAATATCAATCACATTTTATTTGTTGATTGAAAAAGCTTGAAAATTTAATAGAAAGCTCCAGTTATATTGTTTTAAAGGCAGATGAAAAATATTAAAAATCCTAAGTCACAGTTTTTTTTTATAAGCATTTAAAGTTCAAAAATTGACAAAATCTGGAAAAATCACGAAAATTAGCAATTTATTTTGAGTTAAGAATTCGTAAACATTTTTCTTTTTAAATAAAAGATTTTAAAATGTTACACAAGATTCCTTATAAGATTATCTACTTTTATAAAAAAAAAAAAAAATGTCTATAAGAAAGTCAAATTAAATTTTTATGAGCTTTTGAAATTCAAATGTTTACAACATTGCATATTCACTCGATTTCTCATGTAGCGATTTCCTTATTTTGTTGTAATTCAAAATCAAATAACTGTAGATACATGAAAATTTCACTGAATGTTTATATTAGCATTTCCTATACACCATACAATTTTCAAAAGAATTTGACTCTTTTTGAGTTGTTATATTATTAGGGATTCCCACTGTATTTTTAATGTCCGTTGTCAGTTTTCAATTTTTTTAGTTTTCTTTTTTCTATAAATGCCAATAAAATTTTATTTGTTTTGCGAAAAACCTTGAAAATTCAATACAAGGCTCCTGAATTATTGTAATAACATCAGTTGAAAAATATTAAAAATACAGTGGGAATCCCTAATAGTGCCGGCCGGTAAAGTGGAAATTCCAAAAAGTACCGGGCGCACATATCGTTATATTCGTGGCAAAATATAGTATGTGTATCCCATGCAGAAAAGCCATTTCAGTCTTGTGGGAATGCGATCCTCGCCCGCGACTGAAATGGCTCACTTCCCGCCCTTGCCACACAATATACTATTTGTCACACCTACACAGAAAATTTGGTTTTAGTAACAATTTCAGTTGTTTTGTTGTAATTTAAAAATATAATTCGTATGTACTTGAAGCTTTTAAACTGTATTATCAATTATTCATCATATTATATACACATAATGACATTCTCAAATGCAATTTTTCATTCTTTGGATGTTAATCAAAATTACAATCACTCCTATAGGTAGGTACTGAGCAGTAACACTATCTGGCCACGTCGTAGAATTTTACTATTTTAGATTATTATTATTGGATGTGATAGATTATATTATTATTACTTTAAAAATTAAACAACATAATATGACAATTTAATAATATTTAATTAAAATCGATTAAACATTATTTTCTGTGAATACCCGAACCACATACAACTAACTGGCAGTATGTTAGTAACTCGATCTAAAATATATAGGCTGAAACGCTTTGCCCTCGTGACTTATGTGATGTCTCTCTCCGAACACCCATAATATGACCCATAATATCTTAAATTCAATTTTGAGAACACATCTACTTATAGTGAGTTACGAATGTATGACGGCATACGATTAAACGTAATAGTAATAGTAAACCAGATATGGTTTGCATTTAATTCATAATATTTTTTTAAATATCATTAGTTATTGTCGTAAAATCTAAAAAAATACAGAAGCACAGTTTATTTTTTTAGTCATTTTAAGTTCAAATTTGGACGAAATTACATAATAAAAAACCCAGAATAACTATTTTAGTTATGTTGTTGTGATTGTATAATGTTATTCGTGGGTACTTGAAACTTCTAAAGTATACTATTATACATCTTTGATAGTATCACGGTTTGATGTTAATGTATATTGAGTTATAAGTACCTAATGGATATTTTGATAAGATTAATTTGGAATTTATTATAGTTACCTATTATAGGTCAATTTTTTGTTTAATACCATAGATTTTATATGACATTTAGACATTTATAAATTCTGCTCGGTGCTTGGTCGTCATACAATTATAACCATAATAAATCTTGTCCGGTAAAGGTCCTACATATTTTTCATTTTCAGGTGTATTAAAAAAATGAGGGAAGTATCCCTTCTTGGCCTCTGTAAGTCCAAACGTTTTCGGAAATTCAGATAACTTTGACTGAATAAAATTATGACTATCTATGAATTTAATGTTTAAGCCACCATATTTTATTTCGAGCATCATTATTTTTGTCCCGTTACGAATTACTTCGTACTTGACGGTCGGCATATTTTTTAAAATGTGCTGTGTAATGAAATATGTGCCGTACGCTTTAGAATTATGTACTTAGTAAGTTGTTCCTTTCATTACTTTGCTCAGTGTCCATTTACAAAATTTATCATTGGCCGAAATAGCGTCGTCTGTAGAAAATACATATTTTCGGCCTTCAAAATCGTGAGCAATAACCATATTTGGTATGTGAGTACCGGTGTTTTGCTGTGCTTCGTAATCAAAAAATACATAATTCTTTGTAAACGTACAGTTATTCAGTTTCTCTGTTGATTCGTTGATTGGTCGTTACAAACGCATGCTTCTACACAATATCCTCCTTTACCTGTTCTCCGCTGCATATAAAATTTATGTTCACTTAATCGAATGTTTTCTTGTTTACAATTATGACATTGTCCATAACCGCAAACACTGATGTACGTATGGTCATTCCTCTGTACAACGAAATTGCAACCGTCGCATTAATATTCTTTATCACACACGTCTTTATGCTTTCTTAAGCAGTCATTATTGACGCAATAACGGTTACACTCGTGACAGTAAATTTTTTTGCTTACAAAGTTTTGTATGTGATATTTTTCGTTACACAGCCTACACTTTTGCCCCTGTCCTTTTTTACAGGAGTGCTTCTTTTTATTGTTATACCCCGTATCGCATAACTCGCAGTAGTACACACGTTCTCTAAACGCCGACATAGAAAAAATAGAATAAAAATGATCATCTTTTTTCAAAAGGTAAACTTTGTATTTATTTTCAGTTCTGGTGTAGTCGATTTCACAACAATTATCGGCGTTTACGACTTTAATTTGAATTTTGAGCAGTTTTTCAACCTTTGATATGTCACGATACGTAAACGGCCTGTTGTCATTAATTTCTAATTGTTGACATAGTTCTTTTGTCAAACGTGTTTGTATATCGTATTTACCAAGTCGCATGTTTTTGATTTGGTAATCGTTTAAGTGGTGTCCCAATATAACCGAGGTCTTGTAAGACAGCCCCACTATAATAGCACGGGGGCAACATAATTCATCCTGATTTTTAATTTGTGCTATACATCATTTGTTTTTGCTAAATAGGTCCAAGTACTCCCAGGCCGGTTTAGGTTTTCCACCTTTAAGCATTATGATAACTTGAAAGCCGAATACCGTATCGTTGATGTTAACTGATTGATCCGACGTTAATATACCACCTATTTTATTTAAAATTTTCTGTCCTGACACATTGGACGTCCACATTTACCAGTGGATATTGGTGTAAAAAACTTCGGATTGTTGGCGTGCATATTAACGATGTCCCCATCAGCGAAATTTGTAATTTTTTTAATATTTGCAATCATATTTTGTAATCCTTCCTCCAGTAACGTATTTAAACTAACTATATCTAAATCCCCAGACATAGGTTTTAATGTGATATTATAATCAATCATACAAGCATTATACTTTTTTATAAATTTAGTTTTCTTATTGTTAATTTTCAACAAGTCAGACTCTAAGATGATGCTGTAGTTGTCTGCTAGTTTTTCTTTTTTTGTTCCGGCCGATGCATTACCTAAACATATACACTAATATAAAAATGTTAAATAAATACTTTGATTAGAAAGTCCAGCTTGTATATTGTCAACGAAAATATTTGGGGCTACTTCAATCATATTCTGATGCTTACCTAGAAAAAAAAAATATGTTGTTATATAAATATAAATAGCTTATATAGTTTATCTTACTTTTTTCGAACTCATCTATCACTTTATCATAATATTCGTCGTCGTCGTCGTCTTCAAACATTATATCATCTAGCAAAATAAAAATATTAATATTTGACACTAAATATAGGTGTAATTTTCATACTTTTTTCATTATTTTCAGCATTATCCAACGCGTTATCGTCGTCGTCGTTTCTAAACGTTATATTATCATCTAGGAAAATAATAATATTAATATTTGAACACGAAATATATACACAGCTACCCCAAACTGTTTGCTCGGACGGTAATGCGTAAGAATTGTCTGAGAAATGTTGCAGGGGCTAAACATTGCCTAAACATAACTCCTTAAAAAGGATGCAGGGATGAAAACTAAGTATTGCCTAAACGCAACTCCTTAAAAATGATGCAGGTTGAAAACTACCCCCAGGTACAAAATATTTTTAAATTGTACTTACCATGATTTTTTTTTAGTAGATTACCATGCATATTTTGAGTGTGTCTTTTAAGACTATCATTTCGAACAAATAAAACACCACAAAACGAACATTTGAATTTTTTTTTTCATGACTCTTTAAATGTCTGGTTAAACTATCCGAGAAAACGGATAACACTTATTGCATTTAAACATTTTTGAACAAATATTAACGAAACTAGTGTTGTACATACTTTTAGGCATGTATATGCATCACCTCCTTTCCGATGAAACGCGCCCATTTATTTCCCGAGGATCAAGCTTTAAGGTAAAACGAACATATCAGTCACGGGTTAGCTATATATGAATAATGTCAGTTTCATATACGCGTCTACAAACGGCCGTTCTTAAGAATTTGTCGTATGTAAATACCATTGTGTGTACCTAACCAACTATGCCTATGAATAACATTGTAAAATCCGAGTGAAACCTTGATAAAATAACCTCTGTTATAACATTCCAAGTATAATAATATTATTGTTGTACACAACAATGTCGTCGCTTCGATTATCGTATTTACTTTTAAACCATATAACATGTTTTACGCATGGAAGTTTGTAAAATCTAAGATCCTTTATATAATAGGTAAAATAGTCGAGTATAACGCGTTGAATGACGATTTAATGTACTTAGTATAATGTATAAATATTAATATATTATTTTCATTATTCAACATTATACTCTAGGCGTATACTATGGTTGTTCGTCACTATATAATATTAAACCAGCTGTATAATCCGATAGTTGTTTATTTTATGAAAAATAGACAATTATATATTATAAAATATACAGTTATAACAATTTTGTATTATATCTCGGTTTTATTGTACCTAGGTTCACTTATTAAAATCTCTTGGCATATTTCTGAAAGTGGTTCTCTAAACTTTTCTGTTATCTCTAAGAACAATCCTTAACATTTTCGTCAAAATCGGTAGATTAGTTTTTGATTCTAAAAGCAGCAAAAGATAATAAATATATATATAATTTATATATAAAGGCTCTCTAGTATACGATCTATGTATTATAATTTATAAATAATATTTACAATATACCTATAGGTACAACAAAGTAAATTCTTCACCGTATGCACGTCTAGTTTGAAGATAATTTTCTGATTAAATAACTGAAGAATATCCTGGAAAGTGTAGACGTATTTACAGCTGTAACCGAATTATAATGGATCAATGTCTAGGCAAACGAACTAATATATATACACGTAATTCAAGAATAAGGTTGTCCGATGATAGTTATTACTATAGATAATTGTAAGTGTAAGAAATACAAAACAAAAATCTATAAATTGTATGGAAATAAAAGATATCTAATACGTATATTGTATATGAGCAGTGGATATAATTACAACGATTACAGAAAAAAAAACACAAAAATAGATGTCGTCACTATAAAGTACCAATAATGAACAACATCGTGCGCATTAGGTATAGGAACCGAAGTTTAAGTTTTTTTAAGAACCAAAAAGAAACTGATTCCTTAATTTTATTTTTGGTTTTATTAAAAACCAAAAATTAACCGATACCTAAATTTTAGTTTTTCTAGGAAAAAACTGTAAAAATCATCAAGGTTTCAGTACCTGTTTTTAATCCATCTATTTAACAAAGCATAACAGCCAACTTTCCATCAATGTGAAGTATCGCTGACAATAGAACACCTCACGCTCCACTGCCCCATGTAGGATAAATGAACGATCTTATAGGTTTAAATCTATTTTTAATATTTTTAATAAAAAAAGTATTACATAATATACCTCTTAAATCTTATAAATAATGTAAAACAAATTGCAAATACTAGCTTAAACTTTTAAGCTAACGACCTTTGCAGTCGAACCTTCAATGACGATAAAAAAAAGCATAAACAAAAAATTTATTTGACAAAAACATGTGCATATAGATGTATTGTTTATCAAGACGTTATAATATACGTTATAAGAGTTATTTTTATAAAACGTTTTATAATAGAGATTTCCTTGGAGTTAAAGTCATTTAGATAAACAGGTAATAAAAACATGAAAATATGTACTTCACATTTTGTTATAACTTGAATAACAAAATTAAAATTATGAAAAATATTTATAAAAAAAAATAATTTATTCTTTGAAAGTTGTTAACTATACTTCTGGACAAAAACATCGTATCACCAATTCCTTATAGCAGAATTCAGTTTAGGCGAAAAGTTTTCTAATCCGACCATTTCAAATTTCTTTACCTTCAACGATCTTATAGGTATAAATAAAAAAATATTGTAAAAAAAAACTATTTTCAATAAAAAAATATTATATATACCTCTTAAATCATATAAATAATGTAAAACAAATTGCAAAATACAAGCTTAAATTTTTAAGCTAATGACCTTTGCAGTCGAAACCTTCAATGACGATAAAAAAAAGCATGACACTTATACAAAATAAGTATACTACTTTGACTTCACGAAGTCGATACAGTCACAACTGTTTTAAGATAAATACATTATAATATGGCAGTATAGTACAACCGTATAATAAAATACATATAATAATATATATGATACATGTATTATAATGAGTGTCTGTTGTATCTATGCATAAGTACAACAAAGACATAAAGTGCGTCATCGCATATAATTCCCTAATGGAATAACTAAAGAATAATATTTTAACGTCTAGACGTATTCACGGCTTTAATCGAATTATAATGGGTTCTTTTTTTGAAAGCGAACGAACTAATAAATCTACACGCATTGCCACAATAGTGGCATTCGTCAAGTAAATTCGTCATCGCATATACATCTAGTCTTAAGATAATTTCCTAATGGAGTAACTGAAGAATAATATGGAAAGTCTAGACGTATTCACGGCTGGAATCGAACTATAATGGGTTATTGTCTTGAAAGTGGACGAACTGATAAATGTACAATCAATACCTGAATAAAGTCGTCGGATGATAATATTATTACTATACCTGTACTGCTGTACCTATATACATACACGAGAACCCCGGTGATTAACAAAAAAAAAAGAAAAACCCAAAAACAATAGATACATTGTGTAAACATAATAGAATACATAATAGGTTTATAAGTATTTGATATAATGATAACGATTAACAGACAAACATTTAAAAAAAATATAGTATGTCGCAAGCATATTATAGTATCAAATCGGGCATTTTACTAAATGCCTAGACAAGTGGTCAAAGAGTTTAATTTTTATAAAATTTCAGTATCCGCCTTGACATTTAGTTAAATGTCTAATCATTTAACTAAATTACTATTTCAAGTCAGGCAAATAATAAAAATGAAACATTTTAAATATTTCACTGTATATTATCTATTAATTGTTTATTGCTATTTTATATAAAAAATATTTGTATTATTCATGATCATAATATAAAGTACGTAGTTTTATAAAATATTTTTAATTTTGTGTCCATCAGTACGAGTATAAAAAAAATTAATAAAAACTTTATACTTTAATTACAAATTGTTGTTAATTTTTGGTCATTACTTGTTGTTACATGTTTTATTGTGTATTGACATATTTTGGTGGAACATTTAAGATATTTAAGATTATTTAAGATTTTAAGATATTTAAGATTTAAGATTTTATACCTAAATAAAATAACACAGATCGGTTTGACATTGCCGCTTTCCTGCTTGACAGTGACATTTAACAAAACCTTGTCAATCTGTGATAAAGAACTTTTTTCCAATAATATCTTATGATCATTATAATTGTATACCTAAAAAAATCAAAAAAATGAAATAATATCTATTATTGTTTTTTTAGTCAAAACTATTGGTCATTTTTGTTAACAAATTGTTTTGTAAATACATATATTTATTGGAATGATATGTTATTAATCTGATAACAAATATGTACGATTTGTATCATTCTAATTGAGTTAAACCCAAATTTATTTTTCATGAGTTTTACAAATACATATTTTTACATATTTGGTAAATAAATACATATTTTGTAAATATCTTAGTAATTTTTAATTTTTTCATTGATTTCCGTCGATGACAAACATTAAATGAGCAGTTAAATATTTAATGAAAGCCTAAAATAACAATATTAGTCATTTTTATTACGACTAAATGCTTTATATTATCTAAGTTCAATTCAATATTGTTGTGAGAATTTAGAAAAAATAAAAAAACATACGCTTTTATAACCGAGCCAGTTAATTTTTTCCGACTCCTGACTTCTCAAACTTTAGGCACAGTAAGTATTAGTTTTACATTATAAAATAGCAATTGTCACGCAGAAGTTGTGAATCCCTAAATTTATTGTAAAATTATCACAGCTTTACTTGTTTTTTTGAAATAGTGTATACCTACCCTAATTGAATAATTTTTATCAATGAAATTAAAACGATTAGAATCCAACTAAAAAAAAAATTGTAAGTGAAAAAGCAACACGAAATGCTTCGTTTACCTGCTTTGATTCGCGATTCGCTTGAGCTCAGTCATTAGTCGCAATAACTACAGTGAATTCAGCAATCGCGCTTTAGAATATTGTCGCCTTATCGGTCGTTACATTATTCTATGGTTCTTATAGTATCAATGTAAATTGCTGTTTAATAATATTGTAAACTGATACGTGTGTGACAACAGGCGATTAGGACTCCCTTCTCCATGCGACTGGTCTAAGGAATCTGCTGAACAAACCCTTTTGAATGAACCAGCTTGTATGCGAGGACTCGCCCACGTAGCAGTTATTCTTGGCAAGGGCGTATTTTTTGGGGGGGGGGCGATGGGGCGATCGCCCCCCCCCCCTGAGCCTCTGTTTTTTTTTCTTTTTATTATTTTAAATTTTAATATTTTCGTAATAATATAACGACTTATGATACACCAAGTGTACGCCGAATATAGTTAAAGAATTTTAAATTTTAAAATATGGTTACACTGCAACACTGTTTATCGCACTAGACAGTGAGAAGTCTATGGTTAGCATAAGCTGGTCTATGACGGTTAGAAATATCGTGATTGTAATTGTGATTAGTGGTTATCAATTTATCATACAGTTTACAGTTTAATGTTTATATTTTTCGTTTATCATCTGGCTGACGCTGTTGACGGTTGTGTATTAAAATTAAGTTATTGGTTAATATTATATAGGCTAATAAGTTTTTTGTGAATGTCAATAATATAACGTTCTTAAAATGAATAAACGAAAACAGTCTACGCTCTTAGAGTTTTGTAATAAAAAAAAGAACAATAGTTCCAATTCTACTGTGGTAACTGCGGATGTCGATGATGCAGTTGTAATATCCGAGGTAATACCAGCGTCAACAACAACTTATAATAAAGTAACTACTAGTAATAATAGTAATATCGAGGTAGAAAATGATATTTCCTCATTAGTTATTAGTAATGATATCGGTCTTTATATTAATTCATCACGTGTTATTGAAGATACTGTTAAAATAAAACTTTTGGAAAATAAGTGGAAACCACCCCCTAGCTTTAAATATCCGTTTTCAGTTCATAAAAAACAGGGAAAGGAAGAAAAACGATTTTTGAGGTATAACCATTTTGAACAATATCCATGGCTTGTTTATTCGGAGTCATTATCTGGTTGTTTTTGTTTATACTGTACATTGTTCTTGGTTCAAAATACTGGTGGAAAACAAAATACTGAACAATTAAAAAAATTAGTTACAGTTCCTTTAAAGAAATATGCTAAATTACTAGGCAAACATGGTGATTTGGAAACTCATAGTAACAATGATTATCACAAAAATGCTATCTTATGTTCTGAAGATTTTGTACGAACACATCTCTGTCCCGACAAACGAGTAGATAATTTATTAAGTACCGAACGTTATAGACAAGTAACTGAAAACCGAAATCGGTTAAAGCCAATTGTTGAATCTATAATATTTTTGGGCCGCCAAAATATTGCGTTTAGAGGACACCGCGACCAAGGAAATTTAACTGATAAACATAATTTAAATGAAATTAAAATATCATCTTCTGTAGTTAACGAAGGCAACTTTCGTGAACTTTTGAGATTCCGTATTGGATCTGGAGATGATTGCTTAAAAAATCACTTGCTTACAGCACATTCAAAAGCAACATATATCTCACATACCACACAAGATCAATTGATTAAATGTTGCAAAGAAGAAATACTAACGATTATTTTAAAAGACGTAAAAAAAAGTCGATATTATAGTATTATATTTGATGAGACCACGGACATAGCTCATATTTCTCAAATGAGCTTAATTTTAAGATATATCGATGAAAAAAATCAAGTTTTTGAACGATTTGTCGGATTTTTGAATTGTCATGATAAATCTTATGATAATGCAAATGTTGACGAAGAACTTCAAGTAAACGAACCCAAATTGACTGGAGAAAAATTAGGAGATATTGTAGTATCTATTTTAAAAAGCATGTCACTGGATCTTGAAAACTGTGTTGGTATTGGAACAGACGGATGTTCGGTCATGATTTCTCAACTTCGTGGTGCTGTTCAACAGGTCCAAAAACATTGTGTAAATGCTGTACACAGTCCCTGTTCTAACCACGCATTAAATTTATCAATTTCAAAGTCATCAGACGTACAGCTTGTAAGAAATACAATGGGTATTATAAAAGAAATAATATCATTTTTTAAATTATCATCAAAGCGAAATTTTGTTTTGAAGAACAATCTTAAAGGATGCAGACGTTCCATAACTAGTTTATGCGAAACAAGGTGGGTTGAACGTCATACTAGCATTTTTGAATTTCAGTCTTGTTTATCAGAAATTATAGAAAGTTTAACTGACATATCTGAATGGACTGACCATATTTCTTCGTCAAAAGCTAAAACACTTTTAATGGCTGTAACTTGTTGTGATTTTATTATTACCTTATTTGCATTGACAGACGTTTTAAGTGTTACACTACCAGCCAGTAGACTTTTGCAAAGTTACGATAGAGACATTGCAGAAGCATCTGATATAATCAATGGTATTATACTTACCCTCTCTGGAAAACGATCTAATTGTGAATCAGACTTTTCACAATTATTTGAACAAAGTAAGAATGTTATGAATACATTGGACATTGATTTAAAATTACCAAGAATTGCCAAACGCCAAACACAAAGATCTAATACTCCTGCTCAATCACCAGAAGAATATTATCGTCGAGTTTTATATATTCCATTACTCGAAAACATTTCAGAAGACTTGCAGTCACGTTTTCTTAATACAAAAACTAAAGGAACATTTATATTGATGCTGCTTATACCATCCAATGTTTTAAACATATCAAATGACAAAAAACACGAACTTCTTCAGGCTGTAACATATCACTATGCATACTTGGATATTAATATTTTACAATTTCAAGGAGAAATAGAACTATGGAAAACCAAATGGATTGAAAGTAAAAATGAATGTAAGTATTTGATTTATATTTGTCTTTATGTTAGTATAAATATTTATACTAATAGTAATTTATAAAATTATAGGTAAAACAATTCCTGAAAACGTATTAGAATCAATTACGCAATGTAATGAAATACTATTTCCCGGGATCAGAAAAATACTGATTATATTAGCTACTTTGCCAGTAAGTGTTGCTTCCGCAGAGAGGAGTTTTTCGACGTTACGCAGGTACTTACATAAAGTTTGATAAAAAATAATTATAGATTAATTTATTTATTTATGCTTCTTATGCTTTTCTGCTTTATGATTTAATGCTTATTAGATTAAAAACTTGGTTAAGAAGTCAAATTGGACAGGAAAGATTGACTGGTTTGGCACTGTTGCATGTACATCGCGATATAGAATTAGATGCATGGAAAATAATAGATCGGTTTGCAGAACACAAACGCTTTAAAGAATTTGTTTTATAGAATAAAAATAAATAATTACTTGGTGCTTAATTAAAATATTATAATTAGATTTTTATTATTATTATGATTATTAACTAAAGGTTACATATTCGTATCTTTTTTTACCTATAAATAATTAATTGTATGTATGAAATTAGCAGATCAAAATGACTTGACCAGCAATAAGTTACCAATTACTATGTTGACTTATAAATTAGAATTTAATAAATTGATTATGCCTTTATTATTGTTTTTTTTTTTTAAATTGTGTAAAAGTCGCCCCCCCCTGAAAACAGGGCCAGAGACGCCCTTGATTCTTGGTGTAACGACAGACCATTATAGACAATTCCAGAGTATTTCTTTTAAATAAACGTTATTACATTATTGAATAAAGGATATTATTTTGATCCAAAATAATTTCAACTCGTTATTTTTATTTGTTGCGGAATTGCTAAGTGTGCGTTCATAACATTTTTTTTGTCAACGGTGATGTACGACTATTAAGTCAGTATCCGTTACCAAGAGTAAAATAAATTACTCCAACTTATTTTTATCCTCGTCCAATTGTGTGATAGTTTTATACGTCAACAACTTCAAAACATTAAAAGGCTCTCCAGAACATTCACAAACTACAGGAAATCTACAGAATATTTCAAATAATATAATTCAATACTATATAAAACGTAACGCGTCGTATTAAACGGGTAGGCACAGCTTGAGAAAGTTTAACGTCAGCGATTTAATGCATTGCCCCGCACTCGCCTGACAGAACAATAAACATTATTGTGTAGCCGCCGCCCAAATAGCCGTCGGTAGATATTATTATTATACGAGCGCCCGTGTACGGCCGCCTGGACGTCATCTCAATAAGCACATAAGATTCCGTGGACACTAAAAACCTAGCCTTTGCATAAATGCGTTAAAAAGTTAAAAGTTAAGTTAATTTTAACTTTCAACTTATCATTTTATAATTTGATTTTCATTAACTTTATTTTTAATTAAACTTATTTCAATTAATATAAATTTAATAAATAACGAGTTACGAGTTTAAATAATTAAATAATAAATATAATGAAAATAAAAAATATTATTGATATTACATAACCATTTACTAAAATACTGAAGATGGAATTAGAAAATATATATTTAAATTAATTTTTTATTCCATTAACAAGAATTCAACATGAAAAATAACTCAATTAAATACATATAGATATAGCAATAGCCAATTATGTTATAACATTTGGGTGTAGGTATCGTATATATAAAGATATACCATACCGTACTGCGGCATACAAGCACATTGCAATAAAAATAATTAATAAATAGGTACTAATAACTAATAAGTAATATGATATTATTTAGTTTTATCGATTAGATACAAATCAAAAATGTACAATTCTCAAGAACATATTGTAAAATATTTTCGGCATAAATAGGTTATTTTTAAATTGAAACTAATTGGGTTATGCTCATGAATATTTATATTTCAAATGTTTATATTTATAAACAGTCAATATTGTCAGTAGACAAAATAGTCATAGCCCACATGGGTTCCCGTTTCGTCTTTGGCTCTCTCAGCACGCAAGATTTACAATACCGTGTTTCAGTTTTTGTGTAACCATTGTGTGATTATCAGTGTCGAGTGAAATAGGTTTATTTTAATTTTTTTGATTAATTTATAGAATTTTTAATTTTTAATTCTCTCAATACAGCCAGTCTACACTAACTGGAGACTTGGTTTGTGTAATATGTATAATATTTATTTGTATTAATAAATCAAAAAATTTTATTTAGCCACACAGTTACTAACGGACATTCGATCGATCCGCCGCGATGATAGTTTGTCGTAAAAGTGAAATTGCTGACATAAACAAACAATACGTAAATACTTAATGTTGTTGTGTATACTAATAAACAGGCAAATCGAATACTACGGATATTAGGTACGTGTATTACCATAGTCCATAATCACCGGTATTTACGTAAAAACAAAATATTTTATCGAAACCCAATAATAATTATTTTTCCACACTACAGCTGTTTCGTTGCATAAAACTTCGAATCAGAATACGGCAGTCGAAAAGGATAGTAGTCAGTAAAAAAAAAATTGTGGTTATATATATTTTTAATGTTGTCAACTGCTATTGAAACAATATATCAGGAGCCTTGTATTTAATTTTCAAACTTTTTGGACAAACAGATAAAACTTTACTGATGGAAAAAAAAATTAATAAAATTGAAATTTGAAATTGTCAGTTAACAGGTCGAAACAAGTCAAAATATTTTGAAAATTTTATCAATTATAAGAATTGATAAAATAAACATTCAGTGAAATTTTCATGTATCTACAGTATTCGTTTTTGAATTACAACAAAATAAGAAAATCGCTGCATGAGAAATCGAGTGAATATCCAATGTTGTAAATATGTGAATTTAAAACGATTATAAAAATTTAATTTAACTTTATTGTAGACATTTTTTTTTTTTTTGATAGAGGTAGATAATCTTATAAGGAATCTTGTATTATATTTTAAAATCTTAGATTTAAATATAAAACTTTTTATGAATACTCAACGCAAAATAATTTGCTGATTTTTCCATATTTTTTTCAATTTTTGAACTTTGAATGTTTATAAAAAAAACTGTGATTAAGTATAACCCACGGGCCACCGGGGGGGGGGGTATATCCCCCATATCCGCCTCTGATACAGTTTATTGTAATACCAAATCGCAACATCTAGATTTTAAATTTTCTGAGTAATACTGAATTTTTAGTTTGGATTTATTTCTCCCATTTTAAAGTTCATATAATTAATGATTATTTAATATATTTTAAGTGCATACTATAATAAAGAGAAATCATCAAGAGAATTTATTTTTCTGAAAACGAAAAGAGAATTATTAGCGGTTTCCAGCAAGCAGTCAAATCGTCAAAAAATTGCCATAAACCTTGCGTTATCATTCTGACATATTATTGTTGTTCAGATACGTTCGTTGAATTAGTTACTACCTATGTATACAAATTATATTTTCTAATAAATTATTAATAATATAATAGAAAATATTCTGTGAATAATTGTTTTAACACCAAACATTATTAAGACAAAAAATCCTTTATTTTAAGGATCTGCATTGTGCGCAAACTATATAACACATTTAGCCTACAAAAGAAATAGTATCTTTTGTACATAAATATTTGAAACACTAAGAAATGAAACTCTTTAATGATATATTTAACCCTCATAAATTCAACCACAAATCGTTATGTTATTTACTGACTATAAAATAGATACTACAGAGTCTACAGGACACTATTTTCAAACAAGTTAAAAACAAATAAAATAGATTTTAATCTTATTTGTTTGTATACAAATGTACAGGAAACTTCTCCGTTACACTAATTTACTAAAATAATGTCAAGAAATGCAATTTAGAACAACCTATTACAATTTCATTATGATGATTTCAATGAATTTAACACGTACCAACCTAATAAGTTTAAGTATATGCAACTTGAAGAACTTTTTTTCTACAAATTGTATTCATTAATAATCTAAAAGAAGATCCTACAGAATTAATTATATAATTACTAGAATAAAAAAATTATGTTGTTCTGGTAATAAATTAGAATTGTTAATGTTATTAATAATTAAAACTAGTTACAAAACATTTTTCAGATCAAAAAGAGTACTTATAAATTACAATAGTCTCGAGATAGACTTTTATTAATTGTCTAAATATTTAGTTATTTTCCGTACCTATAGTTCCTATAAGAAAATAAGAGAAAGTACCTGTAACCACTCTACTATACAGTAGGTAGGTGTCTTGTGTACCTACGTCATCATATTAAATATTTTTTTAGAATTTCTAGTACCGACATGAATTAGTCATGAAACATGATTTATGAGGAATTTTGTATTACATATTCAAGATTTTTTACCGAGTGCAAAATAAAACGAAGAGAATTAAAAAATGTAAAATCTTTATAAATGGCTTAAAAAGAGTAAAATTTTTTTAAAATTATGTACATTCATGTATACAAAATGCTAACATAAACATTTGTTCAACATTTCAAATTTTTAAGTACCTACCTAGCAATCTATGGTTATTCGTTTTTAATTACAATTTACAACAAATTAAGAAAATCGTTTAATAATAAATCGTTATTTTACTCATAATAGCTATCAAAATGTCAAAATGTACATTTCAGACGGCAATAAAAAAAATATTTACTCACGCTCAACTTTTTTTTTTAATTCTACTAATTACAATTTATGAGGAACTCAGTATTAAATGTTCAAGATTTTTAATGGGTAAAAAAAAACGATCTACAGATTTTTAAAAAAAAAAAAATCAAAAAAAAATCGTAAATGAAAAATTTCAACAGATAAAGGAAAAATCAATAAAAAAATTTTATGCCATGGATTAGGACTTAATTTAAATTATATTTTTTTGTATAGTTGAATAATATTGATTTAAGAAATTCATACCGACTTATCTCTCCTCTATTGTACTGTTGTATTTTGTCTTCGTTTTTTAGTTGATGATCTTTTACTTTAATACCTTTAGGAAAGTATTATAAATGGATACTATTCAGTTTAATATAGACATCAGTCTAACAGTCAACCACGTACCAATTAGTGTAGAATTACAATACAAAACGTTGGTTAAAGAATGAATTTAACGACTCGCATGTCCTGATTAAATCTGACGAGTTAGCTGCCCAAGGCTTTATTGGAAATATATTTTCATCAGATATATAGTTATCAGTTAAATAATCACAGTACTTTTTTAGTTTATCATTTACAGAACAGTCAGTCATTAAATCTTCGACATAACAATCACCTACCTCTTCAGGATTCAAACAAAGTAAGCCAAACGTGTATTGTATCCACTTGCCAATATATGAAGTGTTGTATTTATAGTGTGTAACCAAGAAAAATGTTTGCAGATTTCTCCACCACGATTGGGTTAAATGAAACCTACATCCAATAATTTCCGTATTTGACCAAACAGTTAGTATAGCTTTATGTATTGCATATTCAAAATCAACCGTACATTTTAACGGTGATAGACGTAGGTACTCCAAAGCTATTACATTTTTCGGTGATTTTCTTAAATATAAATTCATATGTTTGGACCGATTTATTAACTAGGTAATAGGCAAAAAACTAATGGTATAAAATGACCATTTTTATATCCATGAATAGTGAACATTTGTTCAAAAAATCTTGCAGAATAATTAAACGTGCCATCGACGTATACGTTTTCAACATGGCTCAAGAAATATAATTTTTTTTCACATGAAAATATTATTACATTTTCATTTTCATCGTTTTCTAATACAAAATGTTCATTTCTTACAGTTTTTATTTCGGCTCCGGCCATATACTGATGAACTCCATTAAGTAGGATTAGGAGGAATAATTTTGCATGATATTTATACATATTATTCCTTAACCTTTTTTTATCATGTACGTTTAAATATGAAGTTGCGTCGTTTTGACCAATTTCTTTTAATATAATTTTTTTTGGTCTTGTAAGGAGATCTTCTATTGTTTTTATTTTGAATGCCGTGTCATAATATAACGTTAAATAACGCAATTTAAGGGGGACATGAAAACTTTAAAAAAAAACACGAACAATTAATTTTACAAAATTTACAATTATAATATTATAAGATTGTATTCTATTGTTAAAACCGTCATTCGATACAATAAGAATAAGTTTTCGTGACCCGTAAATAAATATTACGATAGTTCATAGGTGCAAATAGTGTTTGGGATTTGTGGGGGGATGCTATCGGGGATGATCGTATCTTTTATTTTATCTAGATAAATTACACAATTGGTATCTAATTGTCATCTAAGATGGAAAACTTCGACATCTAAATTAAATTATACAGATTGTTGACGAGACATAGTCTGAAAAATATACGAACAATGAACATCATATTTTCAGATATTATTTTTAAAATTGTATGTTATGAAATTAATTATACGTATATATTATTTAAGTACCTAGTATTATTATTGTCGCTAATGTGGAGTGCACCACTTTTAAGAAATTATAAATATAAATTGTATTGTTGATCAATAACAACTGATAAGCTTTATATAATAATATTAAATATTTCAAGTCAATGGTCTCTGAATAACCTGACAGTAATAGGAATATTGGTATTATATATTAACTAGAAACTAATAAGAATAAACCACCAGCTTCACTTCCCACTCGCCAACAACCTTTCCTAAACTATAACCACTGCAAGTTATAAATATTAGATATATTATTTTATTTTAAACAGATTGAAGGTTCAATTTATTCAATTTATGTTATTGTATTAAGTATCAAAATTATTTTTACTTAATATGATTATTTTAATTTTCAAATGTTAACAGCTTTATGTATAGTAGGTAGGTATTGATTTCCTTTTTTTAAGTTTGAAATCTATTTGATATGTGTCATCAAATAAATGTATATGTATTATTATTCAAAATAATAGTTTAATAATTATATACAAATATATAAGTAGGTATATAACTATTAACTATATAATATATACAAAGTACCTATTCTGCCATCAGTTGGCCTCTATATCCACAACTAGTCTTCTTTTTCAGAAAATGGAGTAAGTATTGACATTGTTGTTGGAATGATAATTAAAATAGTTTAACACATTTTACAAATAATTATGTAAACTCTCACTAGGAGCGGTACTGTTGTTATTGATTGTGCTCCAGATATCGTTACCTAGTGAGAGTAAACCAGTTGGTGTTGTGCGGCTCAGGCGACCTGTCACCTGTGCCCGCCAGAATTACACCGTTGTGATTTGTAGTAAAGTGTTTAAATAAAAGTTAATTTACCTAGCGAAAGTCTTTATATTATTGGTGTTAAATCCTGACAGTTAACATAATAATATATTTCAGAAGTGGGATTCGAACGTGCGTCTAGAGTGAGTGTCGATACTCAGTAGCGTTCTATTCTGTGATAGCAGTGGTTGTCTGTATTTCTCGTTTAACTTGTAGGCCGTAGGGTGCTTTAGTTCGTGCGTTAATCGAAATTGTTTTGCCGTCGTCGTTGTGTTCGAAAACCGAAGTTGTTGCGTTCGTCGAGTCGTATTTGTTGTTCAAGGTCGCGGTGCATTCTGTGGCAGAAGTGCAGAACACGAGGTTGGTACTACCGAATTACGCACGTAACCTTAAACGCGTGATTACAACCACCTGGGTTGGTAACGATACCGTGGTAACTGTGCGTTATCAAACTGACAACAGTGATACCATTATCATCGTTGATATTATCGTTATTGTTATTGTTATTGTTGCGGACTGATAATGTCCGACGGTAAAGAAGGAAAGTCTGTAAATCCTGTGAGTATCACAGCCCCGACGTATAATGATTTGGTGTCTCTCGTTGAGCGGTTGACCACGCAGTTGAAGACGGCAGACAATAGTGCCGCTGTTCTCGACGAACTTGGAAAATTGAAGTCGTCACTCACCGCTAAGGTTGAGACGGACCAGAAGAAGCCTGAACCCAGAGAACCTCTCGAGTTTCGCGTGGTGTCAGACCTGGCTAAAGGCGTTGAAAAGTTCCACGGACGAGAAACCTCCGTCATGGCTGAGGATTGGCTGTTAGCCGTTAAAGGGTTGGCGTCCGTCAACGCGTGGCCGTTTTCATATACACTGCAATACCTACGCATGCACGTAGAAGCTGCTGCGAAGGACTGGTTCATGGGTCGCTCGTTCTGCGATTGGACCGACTTTGAAAAAAAATTTAGGAAGACGTTTGTGCGTGCATCAAGTGTGTCCGATAGGTTGGATCTGATGAAAGCCCGCAAACAAGGCAAAAATGAAGCCTTGATGGACTATTTCCAACCGAAGATGCGCATGTGTCGCGAACTGTCCCTGTCATTGGAAGACTCGAAAGATTATCTCCTCCGCGGTTTGTATGCGAGGAACTTGGCGCTGTATGTCGTTGGTCGACGGCACGTTGATGAGGACGAGCTACTCGAAGACATGCTTTCGTGGGACCGGATGAACGCGTTGCACCAACCTACGGTAGGCTTCGAACGTAAGGCGGAGTTCACGAAGACGCAATCTGTTGTAAAGAGTTCGACTTCGTGGGGCTCACGGCCTGCCGTCCAGCCGGTACAACCAAAACCGTCCATCGCCAGTGTGTCGTCAGGAAGTTCGGTCAACAGTGCTGCGATGTGCTGGAATTGTAGAACCGTTGGACATCTCTCAAGGGACTGTCCGACGCGTCGAAGGTCTGCCACCTGCTATGGTTGTGGTGTCGTCGGTCACATTCGGCCGAACTGTCCGGAACGGGGCCAGTCGAGCGTGGCTGTGGTAGCACGTGAGACGAGAAGCCACCCCTACCGGAGGGTTGGGCGAATCAATGGCCAAGAAGTGGACGTTTTGCTTGACACGGGTTCCCATTATAATTTGGTCAAGGCGAGCGTTGCCATAAGCTGTGGTCTCTCGGTGAAGCCTACTGACAAGTCGTTGTATGGGTTAGGCAGTACCACTATTCCTTCCGTGCGAGCCGTCGGTATGGCTTATGCCGAGATTGCTGTGGATGATGTGTGTCCCGGACAAGTGTCCATGTTAGTTGTGCCAGATACCGTGCAGCAGCCCGACGTGATAATAGGGCGTGAGTGGCTAGATATGCCCTCGGTAGAGTACCGTAAGGTCGATGGTCAGCTGCACCTATATCGAGCTGAGCCGTGCTCGGGCCAGACGGAAACCACCGTTACAACTGTTGGCTGTGACGCCGATTTTATACATACTGTGGAACAACATGTGATCCCAGCTCGTTTGCCATTGACGGAGGCCTCGGAAAAAACTGCTTTCATCACCTCTGATACAACAGGTGAATTCACCCGTATGCCTTTTGGTCTCTCCGGAGCAGTGGCTGAGTTCACCCGTTTGATGCAGCGAGTTCTCGGGCCGCTCCAGGGCAAAATAGTTCGAAACTACTTGGACGACATGATAATCGAAGGTCGTGACTGGACTGACATGCTGAGAAAACTAAGATTGGTGCTCGATCGACTTAGGGACGCTAAATTGACGTTAAAGCCGTCAAAGTGCCAGTTTGGTACGGCTCAAGTGGAGTTTTTGGGTTTCGTGGTTGAGAACGGCGAGATTCGCCCGGGTCGCGAAAAGACTCGCGCGATTGTTGAGTACCCCGTGCCGAGTGACGTGCATTCTGTTCGACGATTCCTCGGACTCACTGGATTTTTCCGTCGGTTCGTGCTCGGATATGCTGTCATAGCAGAACCGCTAACTGCTTTGTTGCGCAAAGGTGTGAAATTCCAATGGGCTGATGGTCAGGAACAAGCGTTCCGCAAGCTGCAGGATGCCCTTGTGGGCGACACGGTGCAGTGCATGTTCCGGCGCGACGCCGAAGTGACAGAATTACATACCGACGCGAGTGCTGACGGTTTAGGCGCCGTTCTATTACAATCCATGGAAAAGGGTGAAGGTTTGCGATTGGTGTACTGCGCTAGTCGCAAGACAAGTGTTGCGGAGTCTCGCTACCATTCCAGTAAGTTGGAGCTGTTGTGCCTAGTGTGGGCCGTAAACAAGTTGCGACAGTTTCTGCTCGGTATAAAATTTGTGATCTTAACTGATTGTCAAGCATTAGTTTACTTGAACAACTTCAAGAACCTGAACGCTCAAGTGGCTCGTTGGCATGACTCCTTGCAGGAGTATGAATATGAGGTGAAGTACAGGGCCGGTCACCAGATGACTCATGTGGACGCCCTGTCTCGAGCTCCGGTCTCGACTGAAGAACCACCGCTGGATGATGTATTGGCAGAACGGATCGATGTCGTTGGTGTTCTATTGTCTGAAGAAGAAAGAGTGGCGATGTGTCAGTCGTCAGATGTTGACATTGCCCGTGTCAAGTTGGACATGAGTACAACCGGCGACACCTGCGGTGAGTTTGTCCTAAAAGGTGGGTTGCTGTATCGACGCTACCGCGATAAGTTGTTGTTTGTGATGCCCAAGAGTATGAGGAAGAGCCTTGTGGTCACCGCGCATGACCTTAGTGGTCACCCGGCTGTAGATATTACTATGGCCAATATATTACAAGATTTTTGGTTTTCCGGGATGCGGCGCTACGTGCGATTGCACATTAATGTCTGTTTTGAGTGCTTGCTGACTAAGGATCCTCGTGGAAAGCGACCTGGCTACCTCCATCCTATACCTATTGGGAAGCGGCCATTCGACACCGTTCACATTGATCATGTTGGTCCATTTGTGACTACTCCCGACGGATTTAAGTATGTACTTACGATAGTAGATAACTTTACTAAGTTCATTTCCTTGTACGCAGTGAAAGACACCAGTGCTGATCAACTGATTGAACGAGTGCAATTATTCGTTGATACCTATGGACTACCCCGTCGATTTGTCACGGATCGTGGGAGCTGCTACACTTCGGGTGCGTTCGAACTGTTCTGTCTGCAGCGAGGCATTGTGCTGATATGGAATTCTTCGCGCCACCCTCAAGCTAACGGCCAGGTAGAGCGCTCTCACAGTGTTGTCATGGCAGCACTCCGAACTGCTGGAGTAGTTCCTGATGGTTGGTCTGAGTTACTCCCTGACGTCCAGAGAGTCATAAACAACAGTGAAAGTAAGACTACAACAAGAACACCGTTTGAAATGTTACACGGCTATAGGCCGCGGTTCCACTTGGGAGCTCTGCGCGGGCTATCCACTACTGTTGATGATTGGACACCGCCAGAAGGATTGCGCATTGGAGCCCACCAAGCTATGGAAGTTTCCAAAAGAAAAATGAAAATAGCATATGATGCTCGACGGCATGATAATACTCATTACCAAGTGGGAGAGGTGGTCGTGATGAAGAGGGCTCCCAACTCTACAGGAGAATCCACCAAATTACAAAACCGCTACAGGGGACCGTTAGTGGTTTCAGAGGTACTTCCTGGAGACATCTATAGAGTTACTGATTTGTACAGTGGTCGACCAAGTAGGTTTGCTACCACAGCTCATGTCGCTCAGTTGAAATCCTGGAAGCTGATTGATGCTGAAGAAGAAGGCAGGCTTGCGGCTGAGGCCAATGTCCCTGGAGACGCTGCCACTACTCCAGAAATGTCAAACCAGGATGCTGATAGACCTGAGTCCGTTGTTGTTCAGAAGGAAGGTAGACCACGCCGTGAACCTCGTCCACCCGTCTGGCTTAAAGATTATGATACTTGTTCCTAACCAATACTGTTCCTATGATAATGTTCCTATATTCAACTACCTAATTAATTGTTAATATGAGCTAAAATTGTGTGTTTATTTAAACGCTCATGGTGTATTTATTTAAAAAAAAAAAAAAAAAATGTTTAATTATTGTAAATGAGCTAACTTATTAATGGTTGCTATTGTAAACCTTTCTTTCCCTTTTGTTTACATAATGTATTTTAACCATTAATCTTTAATTATGAATCAAAGACTGTTTCTGTCAATTTATGTTCTCTAAGAGATTTATTTATTTGTTAATTTGTTTTTTTTTTTTCTCTATGTCGTTAAGGATTGTTGTACCCTTGTACTTAGTGTTGTAAGGTTCTCTGTCGAGGGCGACAGACTACATCAGGATGGTCGAATGTAAACTCCCACTAGGAGCGGTACTGTTGTTGTTGCTCGTGCTGCAGATATTGTTACCTAGTGAGAGTAAACCAGTTGGTGTTGTGCGGCTCAGGCGACCTGTCTGCTGTCACCTGTGCCCGCCAAAATTGTACCGTTGTGAACTTGTGATAAAGTGTTTGAATAAAAGTTAATTTTTCAATATATTATTGTTGTTAAATCCTGACAGTTAACATTTTTAATAAATTATTTAGTTTTTTTTTTGTTAGAGTATGAACACTCACTATGAACTATTTTTGAGAATTCTTGTTTTACATTTTCAATCGTTACCAATAAAAGTTGAACATTTTATAAATTTTACTACTAAATAGTAATTTGTAAACTATCAATTTGATAAATTTTGTTAAAAATTGAACTTTAATTTTTTAAAAAAATGGATCTTATATGGATCTTAATTGTTTCTCAATTGCTATTATAACTACTCATGAATAAACTCTTATTACATTTTCATATTATAGATAAACAAATAAGAAATTTTTGTATGAATATCTGACTACAAAATATTTTGAAAATTGTCAAGATTATGATGAATTTTGTAGAAATTTGAATTTTAAATGCCCGTAAATAAAAACGTGCCTATATATTTCTAATATTTTTTAACTGCTATTATATCAACTTACGATTAATTTTGTATTATTTTTAAGCTTTTTGACCCAACGAATAAAATTCATAGAATACAGAACTAAAAACATTTCATAATTCAAATGTCTATAAATCATTGAAAACGAGTCGAAATATTTTGAACATTATATAATATATATTATGATAGTTTAAACATTTGATGGACATTTTAAATACCGACAGTTAATAGTTGTTGAATAACAACAAAATAAGAAAATCGTTATACGAGAATCATATACAAATCATTGTAAAATCAAAATATTCATTGCTCCCGTAGTCCACTCTAAAATACAAACTAACACACGAGCCCGGATTAAGGGGAGCAAGGGTGTCACGGTAAAGGGGCCCATTGATTTTGGGGGACCATCTTTATCCCCAAAATATATTTTTTTAACGCTTCCAATACATTTAAATATATATATATATATATTGAAGTAGATAGGTATAGGTAGTAGATAAATTATTATTACTTAATAAATAATAATTATAAAATAAAATTGTTCTCAATTTGATATCATGAAAAATTACTATAAATAATGAACTGTATTGGTAAACACAATTTTCATTAAGTTTTTTTTTCTGAGTATTTTCGATTACTGATTTAACTATTAAGTATATAGGTAGTTATAAGAAAAAAATATTTAGCTCTTGTAAATTAGGTATTTCAGTTAAAAGTATTAACGCATATTATACTAAACTTTCGAGGACCATAGTTAATAAGTAATATATTACATATTTCTATATTATATATATATATATATATATATATGTATTTTATTAAATTGTTGTAAAAAAAGGCTAAAAAGCTGAAATCTAAATTATAATTTGTTTATTTTATTATAATGGTTGACTTTTTATTAGGAATAAATGGAAGTGTTAATTTTAAAATAAAAGTGTTCTCTAAATTAGTGGAAGCATAAATGCAATAAGGGGAAAATATACATTTTGGGTTATCAATTATCACTTTTAAATGGCTTGAAACCGATTGAAAAAAATTCTGTTTTGGTTTCGATTTATACACTGGTTTCCAATTTTTTTCGGTTTTGGTCTTGGATTTAATACCGATTTCCAATTTTTTCCGATTTTGTTTTTGATTTTGTCATCGGTTTCAGTTTATACCGGTTTCTAAAATCGGTTTCAAGACCTGGACTATTTACGTTCATTCTTAGTTTATTAATTTTTTTGAATCGCTGGATCGAGCGTCCGATCGCTTGTGTAAAGTAAACTTTCAAAAATGTCAAGATACAAAGATTTTCAAAAAAAAAATACCTTTTTTTAAAATATATTTTCGGTTTTGAATTATTATACAGGTATGCAATTTTTGTCGAGTCGGTATTGAATTTAATACCGGTTAAAGTAAATTTTAAATTAAAGGTGGCTTAAAAGTTTTTTGTGATAATGAATAAAAGGAAACTGAGAAAAAAGGGGCGCCAAAATCGTAAATACGCCACTGGTACTATGACGTAAGATTCACTCTGTATATTTTTTGCATAGTAAAAAATTATACAATAATATAAAGTCGTTAATATGTAATAATACAATTATTTTGAAGTTAAAGTTGAAAGGGGGCCCACTAAGTGTATGGTGTCTCGGGGCCCAATTGATCCTTAATCTGGGCTTGCTAACACATAATAGTTAGGTAGGTGTAATACAAATTAAACATTATACATATAAAATATAATATCCGTGACGCTTAGGTCATAAGAATATTGTTGAACATTTTACTGCAGGCTGTGTGTTATTTCAGAAATGGTATTTAATTCGTCAGTGAAGATTTGTTAGCTGGGAATAAAATATATAATAAGCAGACTGAAATGTGAGGACGTTGCAGTGTTTCGAAGACCAAGTTTTATAGCAGATTTTGATTCACCACGGACGCGGGGTATGTATTTTCTTAATTTTCAGTATTCAGTATGTTTCTTTTTATTTTTGTTAATTGATCAGGGGATATAATATATATTATTGCCTACAACTTTTCAATTATTTGTATTGTAACTATACTGGTAACATTATTCTGGCTATCAATAAAGTCGTGATAAAAATTAGGAAATTTGCCTATTGATGACAAGTCTCTGACTCTGATAGATGTGAGAAGAGGAATGTCTCATATTTATCTATGCGAATTGGTATGTATCAATAAAAACGTGAGAGACTCGTTGATCGCTTATATGTGCTTCAAATTGCTTACATGAGTTAGTGTCACAGGGCAGTATCAAGGGACAATTTATGGGGAAGCAAACATAAATATGACGCCAATAATTCAGTATACGCATTTTTTTTACAACTAAATAACCAAAAAAAAAATTTATCGCTACGCTCTAACAAACATTATACAATATACTTACAAAAAAATGTATTAATTTCAAACTCATGTCTCTTATATGGTATATTCTGTACCTATACTTATGAATTATTGTAATGATCAACGACTAAGGAAGTAGGTACTATGTCTAAAATTTTAAATATAATATAACACTAACATTATCCTAAAAATTTACCAAGTTCAAAACCTTCGTTAAGTTAAAAAAAAGAGTTTTTTGTTTTCATATAGGTAAAATTAAAATATTCGTACCTAAAATTGTTCATGTTATTACACCAAAGAACTATTATTATTTTATGTGTTCAAAAAGCTAACACTAACAGTACACAGTTTGTATTTGTTCATTATTTTCAATTTTATAATAATAAAATAATATTATAAATTAAACATTATAAATTAAATTATACATTTAAGTTGTATAAATATAATACAATATATTTTATATAGCTAAAAGTTTAAACCTCTCTTGTGGACACAATATAGGTAGGTGTATTAAAAAAAAAAAAAAATAATTATAATCAAATAAAAATATATTAATTAAAAGCTTCACAGATAAAAAAATTTAAAATATTATATATTATTATAACATAAAAAAATTATTATCTGATCTGCTTGTAAATATTTGGAAATACAGTGGAACCTCGATAAGTCGAAATTCAAGGGAAATGCAATTTTTTCGACTTATCAAGGTTTTCGACTTACTAAGGTTTTCGAGTTATCAAAGTTTTAGAAAAAAAATTCGACTTAAAGAGTTTTAAAAATGTATGTATGTATTAAAGTTTTTAATTATTATGTACTTAGTATATATTATGTATATACAATGTAAAAAAATGTGATTATACAGATTATTTAAATAAAAAAATTATTACAAAAAAATATAATACTTTATAAAAGATAATTTATTATTTTACTTTGACTTAAAATTTGATATTTACTATTATCAATTGTATTTTCTATTACATTTAAAGCAGAGTACACTTTATCGTCCACATTACTCAATTGTTAGGTGAATGTCCTTAGCAATATGAGGGCTGCTGTTGAGCTGTTGAGCTGCTGATGAAGATTAGATAAAATTATCGGAACGGACAAGCCGATTAGATAAATGTTTATAAAATTATCTGCCATGATCCGTCATATTCGGAGCACAGAATGTTCGAGTTATCTATAGTTTTTTTTTCGAGTAATCGAGGTTTTCGCAAGGGGATGGAATTTTTTTCGACTTATCAAGGTTTTCGACTTATCGAGGTTCCACTGTATTATAGTAAATACAATCTGCATATATAGGTACTTGTATTATCACTAAATAGTAAATAGTAATTAAAGTGGATAGATATATAATTAATCATCAAAAAACTTATTGAACTTCAGCAGAAGAGACATCTCAAAATTTTTATCACACATAGATCCTCTTCTTTTATCATATAGTTGCCCTCCGGCACTAAATATGCGTTCAACATGTGCCGATGATGGAACTGCTGTATTGTATTTGATATATGCTTCTTTTAATGCTAATGGTAAGTCCAAAGGGTTTGTTAAATTTGAATTTGACAAATAATTATTAATAAGTAATTCAGTGCCACTGTTTTCACTGATAATTTCATTTTCTCCAAAGGTGAGAAAATCATCTTCTGAATCACTATTTTCAAACTGTTCAGTAGCAGATATCGATGATTGATTTGATTCTTGAGAACTCAATATATTTATAGAAGTATTGTTACTTACAATTTCTATAAGATGTTGTTTTATTTCATCTCTATTTTCATTAGCTGTCCAATTGAGTTTAAATTTAGGAATTAAAGTAGCAGCTACCTGGCATGACTTTGATATAAAATAATTATGAAACCTATAAAAAAAAAATTATTTTATGGAAATGTTATCTTAAAAAAATAATTTACAATTTAAGGTTATTACAAAATATTTTCCACTATACATTTGTACACAGTTTGTCCTACACTCAATCTGTGTCCCAAACCGTTTGATGTAATGATGTTTGACCTACAATCATAGGTGCCTACTGTGTAGTGTGTACTTTAGCTAGCGGCTAACTGGCCACTGTGCTACAATACAATTACAAAGTAGGCCAGTACTTATGTCCCCCTGGCCAGTTAGTATTTAGTACAAAATAATTTAACCTATATAAAATGTTTTCGCAAAGCTAACTTATATGTGGCGCTCCTGGGGAAATATATTATGGACTGCCATAGGTCTTTAAGTTATAGAATAAAATAGTGTTTGCAGTTAAAGTTAACAAATGATTATGAGTTACAAGATAACTGCTGATTTTTTTTATAAAAAATTCTTCTTCAAAATTATTATGCATTGTTAAAAAGAAAATGTTGATCTTACAATGTCATAAAAACAATTGAAAGGAACTTATTTTATCTGGATAACAAGTTTGGAAACCAAAATAATGTGAGTTAGTATGCTTTTAGTAGGGGTGATATTTTCTCTTCAGAATGGTGGGCCGAAAGGGCCCCAGTCAGGTTAGCTTTAGCACAAACCACTAGTACAGTAGTACCTATACTTTAGAAAAGCTACTAGAATAATTAATTTGGCAAATTTAGGACGAGTTGAATTGCAATATCACTAATCAGTACATACTGACAATTTTAATTTCATTAATTGCAATGTTAAAAATGTTAATTAATAAAAAATAAAAATAAACACCTATACTTTTTCAGTTTTATAACATAAGGTAATAATTTAAAATGTTAATAAATTATTAATCATAATAAAATAAAGTTAAAATATATGATGTATATTCATAATATGTATTAAATATGTATACTATGTCTTACCTTTTATTTAACCCTCTTTTCAATGCAAGAATAAGAGGTTTGCAGAAGACAATATTATTGTTTAATCCGTTTAAAGATTTGTGAACAGCATTAATTGTTGGGTGAAGAAATCCCAGGCACACAGATTTATCTCCTTGTAAAATGTCTAATGCTTTTGATGAAGGTTTCATAACCTAAAATAGTAAAATCAGTAGGAATAAAGTTAACTTCAGTCTATATAAATGTATATTTATATATAAAAATAATAATTACTTTGCAATACTCTTTTAAAAATCCAACTTCCCGAGGTTTTGAAAAGGAAACCAATTCTAATTTGATACAAATATCATCAATTTTATCAATATTTTCCACTATACAATTGATTGCATCATAATAAGAATTCCATCTAGATGTATAAGTAACCACCAAAATAAATAAGTTGTTTCAATAAATTATATATAATATTTATTAAATATTTACCTTGTGGCATTAGGATAACGACCAAGTATTTCTTTGATTTTGTCTGCATTTAACGTTGATTGGTTTTGTTTATTAAATATTGATTGACATTTGCTAAAAACTCGTCTACTAATCGCCTTGTATGTAGCATCCTTCTCAGCTTCTAGAATGTCTCTTGTTGCTATTAAGTTTAATGTATGGGCTGCAGTGCTGCACAGCGCTGATGTGGAGGTAATGAGAAATTAAACGATTTTTCTGTATTTACATTATCTAGTACATCAGAAATTTCAATTGATCTTGGGGTTTCTAGTCCATCAGAGTCAGCATTTTCCTGTATACTATCACAATTATCATTATTGAATACTCTGAAAAAGATAATATTTATTAAAATATACCATAATATAGTAATATTTGCAATAATGGAAATATGCAATAAATATTATAGTTGGTTAGTAACAACTTAATATTTTAATTATGTAGGTATAAAATATACACTAAATATCTTTAATTACCTAGGTATTATTAAATTCTACTATTAAGAGGAAGCTGCACGTTCATGTATTGTCTCCGTCATAATAATGTACAACATATCAAATTGACGTTCAGCATAAACTGTGTAGTGTTGTTAGTTTTAATATTACAATAAATTGACCTATTATCAAATTTAAAGGTAAGAAATTATTTATTACCTCTCGTTGGTTTTTTATATTTTAATTATAAGCGTTTAAAATTACTCGCTTACGTTGCTTAATTTACTGTAATATGAAAACTATACTACACAGTTTATGCTGAACACAAATTTGGCATGTTTTACATCAGTAAGACAGAGACAACATATGCAAATGTAGCGTCCTCTTAACTATTAAGTTTTAACAAATACTATATAATTAAATAATACCTGAAAGCTTTAACAAAGTTTGCCGCATTGTCTGTAACTATGAGAGTAGTTTTTTTATGAATTTTAAATTCATTAAGGATTTTATCAATAACTTCTGCAATATTGTCATACGTATGTCTACCAATCATCCTTCTGCAAGCAAGTCCTTTAGAATTTCGTTGCAATGTTTCAGGATAAATCCAATGTACAGTGAAACCTATGTACGATCTATAATAACGGAAAATAATCTATATATATAAAAATGAATGTATGTCAGTGTGTCTGTGTGTCCATGTTACCATGGTTACCAAGGTTGCCATGGTTACTAAGGTTACCAAGATTTCATATCAATCTATATACATAAAAATGAATGTATGTCAGTGTGTGTGTGTGTGTGTGTGTGTGTCCATATTACCATGGCAACCATATCTGTATATAAAAAACAGTAAGCTGATTGACTGCTATCAACGCACAGCTCAAACCATTGGACGGATCTGGCTGAAATTTGGCATACAGATAGCTATTATAATATAGACGTGCGCTAAGAAAGGATTTGCCAAAATTCACATTTTAAATAGGTGCTGAAACGGGGACATTGAGATTCAAGATAGAAATTGGAAATTTTATTTTTATTTATTTATAGTTGCCATTGGTTACAGTCTACATTAGAAATTAGCATTTATTTATTGGTTGCCATTGGTTATTCGGGCAGATCAGGTACAAGCTTGCATCAAATCGAATTATTGAACAATGCTTACCAGGGTGGCAGAGTTGCACTTACCGCAGAAAATTACACCCAAAAGGAGTTCAACAATCATAATTTTTTTAATAGTTGCGATTTTTTACGAGCAACCAAATTTATTATATTAATCCACAGTATTACATCAAAAAAAACTTGGTATAACTTTGATACTTTAGAGTTAAATCATACACTTCCGTACAAACAGCACGGGGTCCGCGATCTACCGCAGGTAGATTGCCTACCTGATAATGTACTGCTGCGATTCAGAATTTTTATTCAGGGCAACGGGAAAGATAAGATAAATTTTGAACACCATACACCGAATATTGAATAGTGAATTGAACAAAGTTTGAGTAGGTAGTATTGAGTTGATCCATTTAACGGGCGACGAAGTGCACGGGATCAGCTAGTGAATAAATATAATAGGTATATGAAAAAAAAAACACAATTATTTTCAATGGACTAACCTGTGAAATATACTCCAACAATCAGCTGTTAAGCACACATATCTTATGTTTTCCAAGTCATTTTTTAGTTGTGAAATCATTTGTTCATAAATGCATTGAACATTGCGCATTAATGTTCTTCTTGAGACGGGAACTTTATTGCTAGTAATTTTACAGTATCTCAAAAATGCAGGGTGCTCTATAAAAGAAAAAGGAGATACCGTACTAACTATAAGCTGCAAATTTGCAGCATCAAATTCAGCTTGAGATAACTTTTTCACAGATATTTTTCCAACTTCTTCTAACTTCAATTGTTTACTGCATTGATTTAAATTGATGTTTGGCCTCTTTTTTGCAGAATTATTAAAATTATCCAAGTCGTTTGGATGTACAAGCTATATAAAAAACATTAAATATTAGAAGGATGTCAGAGCCATTTGTTTTCTCTTTCTTTAACCAATTCGCTATTCTCAACATAGCAAGTTTGCATTCACTAGAACAAACCTTATATTGTTAGCTCTAGTATTAAATTTAATTGACCTATTAAAATTAAACATAAAGCTAAGAATATTATCTGTATTTGTATGTTGGCCATATACAATATTTTAATTTTAAAGCGATATATTATAACATTATAAGTATTTTTAAACTGTAATATTGTACTAAATTATCTAACAGCCAACTTAGACAATAATGATATGTTAAAGTCTTACTTCATAACGGTCTCTTATAATTTAATTAATGTGAAATAAATATTCTGTTGCTATCTTAACTATATTTAAAATCCCTTAAGTAATGATGGAGCATCAAATTATAAACGTAAGCATTGATTTTATGTTTATTATTTAATATCTATCGTTTTGCTAACGTCCAAAAACTTAGACAAGTACTCATTGAATGAGATGTTTATATAAAAATTGATAACAAAATATGTTTGGATGTGTGTGAAATGTACTACTCTATACATAATAATAATAATAAATATAAATTATTCTAATCCTGCATACATTTCTGTAAATTATGGTTTACATTTTTAGTCCAACTTGGGACACTAATATTCCACCATTTAACCATTTTAATGTAATTTACAAATTATATGACTTTATTATTTAATAAACAATAAGTTTATTTTATATTGTATAAATTATTATAATAATTAATAAATAATAGGTAGGCACCTACGACTTACCAGTTACAAAATATTAGAGGTATTAATCGAAATATCAGATAAAAATTAAAAATACACAAACAAATAATAATGTTTTTAATTTTAAGTTTGATTCTAGGTTACCTTACTGATTACTCTATAGGTACTAGTGTTACCTACTCTAAATTAATATACTGAAGCTAGTTATACAAGGTTGGTTCTAATGAACACAGATTGTTGAGCTTACTTTAATATATCTTCTTAGATTGGAATTTGAAGATTTTGACGTAGGTAGATATTTTTTTAATTTTTGGCATACACAACAAACATTTAAATAATAAATTATTTTGACAGTCACTCTCAAGCTGTTCAAAGGATTTATTGATACTGGGCCATTTCATCAAAACATTGTCATTCATGATGTTAAACCTGAAAAATAAAATCAATTATTTTAATTAAATTTAATATTACACATATTTTAGTACCTAATTTAGAAATGTAACAACTTACTTAATCAACAAAATTCCAGTGTAGAGAAGAAAATATTCGAGTGTTGACAGAAAATTACAAATATAGACAGCGCTGGACCGTCGAAGTCGAAATCGAAAATGGTTTGGTTAATCAAGTCGAGTGTACCTAACAAAGAAAATGTACTATTCGAGTGTAGATTCTATACGGAACATGTAGACTGATACCAGATATTGTACAAACTCGAAAATGGTCGCGTTAGTTTAACCTAACCGCGTCTTTATATTTTAGTCGAAGTCGAAGTATAGGCAAGTACATCACTCAAACACTGAGTAGCGTATTTATTTTTATACTCATACCTACAGTGATTACTGAATAGTGAACACTGAATACTTATTAGTAGTTATTACCAATACACGATAATTAGCGGTTGGCCTGTATGCGTTGTTATAGAAATAGATTATCAATAAGATAAAAAACCGGTCAAGTGCGAGTTGGACTCGCGCACCGAGGGTTCCGTACTTCCGTACAAACCTGTAGGTATATATTAAGTAAAAGTTAACCAACACATCAATCGAGTCATAGTTATGGTATTTTTATTGCAAAATGAAATTTATAACATCAAAATATGAAAAGCTGGAGGATCATAAATTAATGACAAAGGTATCTTTATCGTTCCAGTAATCCTTCATTTTATATTAACATCTATCATTTATTTTATAATATAACAAGGGCAAGCTTTTTTATCAAAGTATAATTATTAATAATTATTATAATTATTATTATTAAGGTTTTTATACTTTAACCCGGCAACGACGGGTAATTCAGCGTCTTATATTTTATTGTAACAAGCTGATTGAAAAATTTCGTCTCCCCTCAATACATAGAGGTAAGTTGCGGCCATTGCGGTAACTACAATTATATATTTTATAATCTCAATCTAAATGTTGGTTTTGATTCACTTGCGAGTAGTTGCGAGTTTCAAAGTATAAGGTATAAATTGTTGTACATTTGCGTTAACTTAGAAATTTGTTTTATTTTCACAGCTTAATGGCAATTAGACTTAAGTATTTAATATAAGTTTCAACTTGATATGTCTACGCGTTCATGAGGAAAAGGATAATAAGTTTAAAATTATTTGAAAAAAAAAAAAAATCTGTGATCTAACTAAAAATTTAAGGTTTTCGGAATTTTTCTGTTATATGTGCGATAAAACATTGCTTCATGCCGAATTTCGAGATTCTAAATCGACTTGAAGTACCCTATAGGTTTTGATTCCCTCGCAAGTAGTCGCGAGTTTGAAAATATGCGGCTTAAATTGTTATTATTTCTTTCGATTGCGTTGACATAAAAGTTTGATTTTGTTACAGTTTAAAGGTATTATAGACTTAAGTATTTAATATGAATTTTAATTTAATACCTCAACGCGTTCATGAGATAAGAAGTAGTAACTTTGAAATTTTCAAAATTGTCAAAAATATTTTATTTTTATATGATGAAACTAAAAATTTATGGTTTTCGTAATTTTTCCTATATCTGTACTATAAGACGTGACTTCGTACAAAATTTCAAGATTCTAAGTTCACGGGAAGGACCCTGTAGGTTTTGTTTCCCGTGCGAGTTTCAAAAATTTGCGGAAATTTGTGGCCTAACTGGCTGTATCTTTTGATTGCGTTGGCTTAGAAGGTTGATTTTTCTACAGCTTCCAGGGACAGTAGACCTGAGTATCATATAGAAATTTCAGTTTGATACCTCCACGCGTTCCTGAGAAAAACGGTCTTGACAGACGGACGGACGGACAACAAAGTGATCCTATAAGGGTTCCGTTTTTTTCTTTTGAGGTACGGAACCCTAACAAGAACACGAACCGCGATTAAAGATATTTTTATTTTTTCATCGTGACTAATATAATATTATATTAAATAATAAAATCTGGAAATGACAGTATTGGTAGTTGTAACAGATAAGTAATAATATGTATCGATATTGAATATAGAAACACTGTTTTACCACCACTAGTCAGAGAGAAAACAAATAGTTCACTGACATATTTTTAACAAACTTTTAATTTATAGGTAATATATTGCGGAACCAGTATCCAATTTTAATAGTACGGAGCATCTGAACATATTTAAATTTCAAAGGACACATAACAAGTTTGGAAATTCAGTGTTCTGACAATTGGATGTGATTCATTTTGGGACATTGCTGGTAACTTTATGACACAAAATACTAAATAAAATTCTATTGAAGTGTGCAATTATGTGAAAATTGTAAACAGAATATTTAATTTAGGAACAAAAGTTGTATACCTTAATGCTAAATTTTTTATTTACAATATAATCATAGTCGTACTAAGGGGGAGGGGGCAAAGGCGCAAGTGCTCGGGGGCACCCATCAATTTAGGGAGCATCATAAAAACAAATGATAAAAAGAAAAATTTGAGATAATAATTTTCAATTTTATACTGTAATACCGAATAAGAGTATCTATCAAATTGTTTTTATTATTAAACTATTAACTATCAAGTATAAAATTATGTAAACAATGAATTACATATACTAAGTATGTTTATACTTACATGCCTATAATAATGTATAAATATCAATATTACCAAAGGATAGAATATTATTGATACATTATTAATGATGATATAATATGATTACAAATTATAACTTTGTAGGTACTATACCCATAGATTGTAAGTACCATAACAACCTACCATAGATTTGATTTTATATTACGACAACATTTTCTTATGTTTATAAATATTAAATAGATTAAAAAAATTCCAAAATATTTTGAACATTTTAATGTATTTAAGTTTATTTTTTAGAGTTACACCAAAGCACAAAATTGATTTTTTCTAAAAATTGTTTTGCATAAAAATCTTAGTTTTTCCTTAATTGTTGGTTTATTTTTCTTGATGTTTTTGAAAAGTTCTGGGAATTTTTTACTTTTGACCCTCCAAAGTAATAACAAGATTCTTTTTAATGTTGAAGTAGAAAAGCTGTTAGGCATTTTTACTGCACCAAAATATGATGACACAAAAATAAAATAAAATATTTCATCATTGCAAAATCAACACAATCATCGCTCCAATCAGAATCTAAAATAGATACCTAAAATACCTACTTAATACTTATATTTCTTCTTTAACTGATTCTGTAAGTACATCATGCATAAATTATTTATTGTACCTAAAAATTAAAATCTTTGTCAATAAATTGCCTCTGAATTATATATCTGAACTTGAACTGATATTATTATTTAAGCCTAATACCAAGAACCCGACATCTGTTACAAGTTGTATTTTAATAAACATTTAATAGCTTATTATAACATCAATTTATTAAAAATCACATCCCAAAGTTTCATCCAGTATCGTTAAAGTCTATAGATCAGAAATTACCTCAACTTGGCACATAATACATTATACAAACTACACACATATGTATACTATGTTAGTTAAATAACTGTTTACCCTCCAAAACGGTATCATAATAAATAAATAACACTTAATTTGCAATACCTATGTTACAGTTACTTAAAAATATATGTTTACAAAAATTCCAATTAAATGTATTTTTTTGTTTCTTATAGTCAGCAAAAGAGTGTTTTCAAGTTCCAGATAAACTAGGATATCAATGTATAACATTGACTACTCAATTATGTTTTCTTCCGTTCATACATATATTTTGTCATTACCAGTATCAGATAGATGAAATTACACAATTGAATAATGATTAATTTTAATAATAATTTTATCACTTGAAATTAATTATGATTGCAGGAATGAAACATTCAATTATTGTTAAGATTGTAAGAATCAAACTATTGTTTATAAAAATACTATAAATTTAAATTAAGTTAATTTGTACCTTTGTAGTTTATAATAAATGTATTTTCTATCTAATTATTGTAATAAATATAATTACATAAGAACTTATATTTAACTTAAATATGATTAATACAACAAATAACTAAATTACTAATTGGTACAATTTGAATATTCCAATTCAAAATTGTTCAAAGAACTTTTATATTTTTTATTTTTTATTTTAAATATACAGTATGGTACAGACATACAGTGTAAAATATACATAATTAATAATTATAATATTTAATATATAGATTTACAATAAATAGTTTAAATTTAAATATAATAATAATAATAATAATAATAATGACACAGTTTAACATTTAAACCATAATGACCTATATTAATGATGTTCCACAGATTCTGAATTTTTTTTAAATTGTATTCATTACTTTTATAATGTTTAGTGACTAATATGTATGTAAACTGTTTTGTGGTATATATGTATTGACGTATTGTTTAATATATTATACAATATTAAAACTTATATAAATACTGTTTTATATTACGGCTGTGGTACGCAAAATTCTTATAAAATATTAAGTGTTATATACATTATTATTTATTATATATACCAAAAATCAAAATATTATTACTTTTTTGAGATGTTGATCATGAATATTGTAAAAACATAAATTACACTTAAGTAAACATGGTGTGTGAAGAAAATTATTATTGAATTAACCAATAGTGCTAAACAGTTTACTAATTAACATAATATAGTCATAGTTGTCTATCATAAAGTACTGTTTAGACTTATACTATATATTAGCAATATAAAACATTATATTATTATATATTCATCTCTATATTCATAGAGATTGACTACCTGTTTTACATAATTAAACATATCATAAATTATTATATTTGTATAAAGGTATATCAATTATATTAATTGTTTAATTAAATTTAATTAGTTATTACCTATTATGTTAGAAATATAAATGTTAACAATATCGCAATTTACGCAATCGATAACTTAATATGTTATAAATAATACACAATACTTTGGTACAATATAAAACTCAATAAAGTTTAAAAAAAATTTCTAATTTTATCTATACGATTATACCAAATAAATATATATCACAATATGTACTTAAAACAAAATGAATCTGATTGGATTCAGTCATTAGTGTTAATTGTATGTGTATATTTAATATTTATTATATTGGTATGATAGGTAGTAATTTGTTTTGTATTTCACAATATAACTTTATATTTATACGAGATAAATATTTCTATTTTAATGACATTGAACATAAACATAACGTATAATGATTTATTTCCATATTTAATCCGTAAGTGGTACGACATTTTAAGAAGTAAACCAAAACAAAAACTGCAGCTGTCTATGGGACCAGACCATACCACTTACGGGTTAATTATTCAAATAATGAATCGTTATATGTACCCAAGATTGTTTATTTAAGTTGAATAAGTTGACATGTATGGCGTGGAGTCTAGGAGAATAATAATGAATAATAAACTAACAATCTTATATCATGCTTACCTGCAACTACCTAAACACATAAGTAATACCACTGCCTAATAAATATAGTAAGTAAAGAAGTACACAATATGATTGGAAATTTATTAAAAAAATTTCGGTAAATAAAAAAAAAATACGGCCTCAGTTGTGAAATTGTATTTGTATATATTATAGTAATATAGTAATATGATATTAAAAATTTAAATATTTTTAAATTCGGCGGCCAGAGTGATAAATATTATTTGTTGTTTATTCCAAGCCAAACTGATATGATATTTTCATCCATGAAAGTGATATAAACCGTTTTTATTTACTGTTTGGTCTATAAATACTTAGATCATATACTATATGATCTAAGTATAAATATCACGGACTAGAGTCCTAGAGGCGGGTTCACACTACACCGTGTCGTGTAATATAATCACGGTTACCTCAGTTACCAAACGATACCGCATAGTTGAATATATTCAACTTTTGACCGTGTGGTTACATTAAGTATGAACCATAGATATATATTATTATATGTAAAGTATATTGTATAAATGTAGAATTTCATAAAAATTTTGGTATCTATTTATAAATATAATTTTTTTATTTTGAAGCTCAGTACATACTGATTCCTTTGCATTCCATGTCACCTACTGTATCTCAAAAATTGGTTATTGAATCGCCGCCTCGGGGTAAGTATTAAATATTAAAATTCTTTAAATGCATTTTTGTCTAATGTTAGAATTATTATAGGTGTTCGTAAGATCATATTATCCATAAATATAGCAGAGACTTCAGTTACCATAGACGATGTAGTTTATGTTATTAATAATGGCCGGATGAAATTAAAAGGATTTGATGCATAAAATAACATTGGACCTCTTAATGAAGAATGGGTTAGCTTAGCTAATTGTAGACAATGTCGTAGTAGAGCAGGTCTTGTAAGACCTGGTATTTGTTATAATTGGATGGACTCTAAAAGTCTCCTCAGAAAGTACATACTCACATCTCTTATGGTTTAATTGATGAAAATTCAACAAACATGTCAAGGTAATGTTACACTACAATAATAAT